AGGGAATTTCAATACACTCCTTTCAGTCGGAATTTTCAATACACTCCCCTCTGGGGCTCATGTCACTCCTCTCAGTTACACTGTTCTCAGTTCTAGGGAATTTCAATGCACTCCTTTCAGTCTGAGGGAATTTTCAATACACTTTTCTCAGGGGCTCATCTCACTCCTCTCAGTTACTCTTCTCAGTTTGAGGAAATTTCACTACACTCCTTTCAGTCCGGGGGAATTTTCAATGCGCTTTCTTCAGGGGCTCATCTCACTCTTCTCAGTTACGCTGTTCTCAGTTCGTGGGAATTTCAATACACTCCTTTCAGTCTGAGGGAATTTTCAATACACTCCCCTCTGGGGCTCATGTCACTCCTCTCAGTTACACTCTTCTCAGCTCTAGGGAATTTCAATACACTCCTTTCAGTCAGAGGGAATTTTCAATACACTCCCCTCTGGGGCTCATGTCACTCCTCTCAGTTACACTCTTCTCAGTTCTAGGGAATTTCAATGCACTCCTTTCAGTCTGAGGGAATTTTTAATACACTTTTCTCAGGGGCTCATCTCACTCCTCTCAGTTACTCTTCTCAGTTTGAGGAAATTTCACTACACTCCTTTCAGTCCGGGGGAATTTTCAATGCGCTTTCTTCAGGGGCTCATCTCACTCTTCTCAGTTACGCTGTTCTCAGTTCGAAGGAATTTCAATACACTCCTTTCAGTCTGAGGGAATTTTCTATACACTCCCCTCTGGGGCTCATGTCACTCCTCTCAGTTACACTCTTCTCAGTTCTAGGGAATTTCAATACACTCCTTTCAGTCTGATGGAATTTTCAATACACTTTTCTCAGGGGCTCATCTCACTCCTCTCAGTTACTCTTCTCAGTTTGAGGAAATTTCACTACACTCCTTTCAGTCCGAGAAAAGTTTCAATACGCTTTCCTCAGGGGCTCATGTCACACCTCTCAGTTACTCTTCTCAGTTTGAGGAAATTTCACTACACTCCTTTCAGTCCGGGGGAATTTTCAATGCGCTTTCTTCAGGGGCTCATCTCACTCTTCTCAGTTACGCTGTTCTCAGTTCGAGGGAATTTCAATACAGTCCTTTCAGTCTGAGGGAATTTTCAATACACTCCCCTCTGGGGCTGATGTCACTCCTCTCAGTTACACTCTTCTCAGTTCTAGGGAATTTCAATACACTCCTTTCAGTCAGAGGGAATTTTCAATACACTCCCCTCTGGGGCTCATGTCACTCCTCTCAGTTACACTCTTCTCAGTTCTAGGGAATTTCAATACACTCCTTTCAGTCAGGGAATTTTCAATACACTCCCCTCTGGGGCTCATGTCACTCCTCTCAGTTACACTGTTCTCAGTTCTAGGGAATTTCAATGCACTCCTTTCAGTCTGAGGGAATTTTCAATACACTTTTCTCAAGGGCTCGTCTCACTCCTCTCAGTTACTCTTCTCAGTTTGAGGAAATTTCACTACACTCCTTTCAGTCCGGGGGAATTTTCAATGCGCTTTCTTCAGGGGCTCATCTCACTCTTCTCAGTTACGCTGTTCTCAGTTCGTGGGAATTTCAATACACTCCTTTCAGTCTGAGGGAATTTTCAATACACTCCCCTCTGGGGCTCATGTCACTCCTCTCAGTTACACTCTTCTCAGCTCTAGGGAATTTCAATACACTCCTTTCAGTCAGAGGGAATTTTCAATACACTCCCCTCTGGGGCTCATGTCACTCCTCTCAGTTACACTCTTCTCAGTTCTAGGGAATTTCAATGCACTCCTTTCAGTCTGAGGGAATTTTTAATACACTTTTCTCAGGGGCTCATCTCACTCCTCTCAGTTACTCTTCTCAGTTTGAGGAAATTTCACTACACTCCTTTCAGTCCGGGGGAATTTTCAATGCGCTTTCTTCAGGGGCTCATCTCACTCTTCTCAGTTACGCTGTTCTCAGTTCGAAGGAATTTCAATACACTCCTTTCAGTCTGAGGGAATTTTCTATACACTCCCCTCTGGGGCTCATGTCACTCCTCTCAGTTACACTCTTCTCAGTTCTAGGGAATTTCAATACACTCCTTTCAGTCTGATGGAATTTTCAATACACTTTTCTCAGGGGCTCATCTCACTCCTCTCAGTTACTCTTCTCAGTTTGAGGAAATTTCACTACACTCCTTTCAGTCCGAGAAAAGTTCCAATACGCTTTCCTCAGGGGCTCATGTCACACCTCTCAGTTACACCCTTCTCAGTTCTAGGGAATTTCAATACACTCCTGTCAGTCTGAGGGAATTTTCAATACACTCCCCTGGGAGCTCATCTCATTCCTCTCAGTTACACTCTTCTTAGTTCGAGGGAACTTCACTACAGTCCTTTAGCAACAGTGAAGCTTTTAATGTAGATGTCAACATCTGTCAGTAAATCTATTGAAAAGTAAAAAGTGCTTGTATCGATTGTTAAATGATAATCTGATAATGATTGAAGTTTCCACTTTAATTCTAAAGCACATAATTTATTATCTTTTTGAATATATTGGATGCAAAAAGAACATGCAGTCTTTTTTTTTAAAATTAGGCTCAAATAAAAGTGGGTTCCATTTGGGTATAGATTCAAACGCCTTTATAACAAAGTCCACACGAACGGCTAAAATATTCGTAGTACTGGTAACTTTGTTGTACAGTGGAATCTCGTTAATTTAAACTCGAGGGGGGGGGGGGGGGCCGAAAATTTGTTTAAATAAAGCAAAGTTTGAATTTTTAGGAGTTTCCTCCCATAGAGACACATAGGATGGGACCTGCATGTCAGTTTGAATTATCCACAAGTTCACTTCTCTTTACTTCGTTAAGCAGTCATTTTCGCTGTAGAGACATTCTTTTTAAAGGCGATTGACTATTAAAAAACTGTTTTAAAATCAATCATAGCTTTACTTTTCAGATAATATAAGGTCTCCCCCCCCCCCCCTTCCCCCGTAACTTCCTGTAGATATAGTTCTCGTAAAATGTCAGCAAAACCTAGCATATATCCTCCGAAGTACCTCTATCAGTAAAAATATGCCCCCCCCCCTCCCCCCCTCCACTTTCCTACATAGAATGCGTACCGAACTCAAAATTCTAATATCGTAAACTGCAAAAACAATCGCCCACAAACATGAAAAACTACAGTTGCACTTTAAAAGGGACACTGCACTTTACCAACTTCAGAACCAGAGTTGAGTAAAAGTTTGCTGCCCTTGGATATTTCAGTTTCAGCTTTAGTGTTTGACACTTGTTTGTGCATGCTGTTTTGTAAAAAAATTTCTCACAATTTAAAAGAAAAAAAGCGAGGCCTACTCGAAAGCAACGAACTCCTCTTTTAGAAAATCTGATGATTAGGGATGAATTCCCAGACTTCAATTTCTATTCATTTTTTGTTACTTTCTTTCTTGTGTGCTGTAACGCCTTGTTCATTTGATGTCTTGCATCTAGAAATATCAGATGGACACTATTTTGTGCGATAAAATTAACCTTTCTGGGTTTTTCTTTTCTTTTACTAGTCTGAAGGTTTTGGAATGGCTTCAGGGTATTTCGAAATTCACCCGTGGAATACGAAGACCATCCCAAAATCTTAGACTAGCCTAGAAAAAGCTCTAGAATTCGAGGAGCGAAATAAATAATATAAAACAATTAATTTTGCGGTCTTTTAGCCCATGTTTGGTTACCCGTGGCTTAACAGGCTGTTCCATGTCTGTAAAGATCAATTGCTGCTTTTTGTTTCACTAAAAATGTAATGTGTCATCTCCAGTTCACATTTTCTTTCACTAAAATGTGAATTATGTGCGTTGAAGTTTTCACTAGAAACAAAGCAAGCATACAATGTTTTGATTATGGCTTTTTAGATGGGAAAGCTCTTCGATCCAAAATGGTCAATTGCTATTTGCTGTACGGCACTGAGACAAATCACGCATTTGCTGCGCGCGCATTGAAAATTCTTGTACTTTGTCTATCTCGAAAGTCTCATCATCTCAATTTCTTTTTTCCCCATTCCCGAGTACTAGGAAGGGGTTTACTGTATTGTCACACTTGCCTGACGTAGAGGTTTTGTTGTGTCTGGCCAAGGTAGGCTATCCTTTGCCAAAGCAAATGGCCTGGAGGCACTTTTAAGGGCGACTCCGCTTCATTTTTGATATTTAGAAAAGTATGTAGCCCTCTTCAGTATCATGTAGGAAGACCCCATGTCAAATATTACGGTCTAATTCCGTTTATATATCTAATAAACTGGGCCAGCAAACCTTCATGTGAGCCAAGTCGCCGAAATCTGCCAACTCTAGCGTGCGACGTGAGGCGCAATCGTCAGCGCAGTCAATGTGACGGAGTTGGAGTGGCCAACAATGAGCCACTACGTCAGAGGCACGTCTATGTCATTCTCACGTTTTGTTTGTTTTTACTTCTCGGAGCGAAATTGAACGATGACGTCATGAGTTCCTCCTCCCGGTGTTGGCTGAACGGCGTCCACATGATCACCGTAACGTGGATGCGCTAGTTTGCGCTTATCGGTCTGTTTCTCCGCTCCCCTCTCCCGTTTTGTCTTCTCCCCTTCCCCCTCTCCCCCGGGCCATCACCGTCCATGCCATGCAAAGCGACCTGTCCCCCCCCCCCCCCCCCCCCCCCCCCCCCCGAACGTCACAGGAACACATGGTTCGACGTGACGTGGCCATGACTGACGATACGAGACCAATGCTGCCTGATGCAATTGAAGTTTTGGTTTCGGTATCAGCTGATGTTTAAATTAAGATTACACAAATAATATTCCACATTTTGCGAATCCGAAGACGTAGAGCTGTTTAGTAGTGCTTTGTGAAATGGAATCACATGTAAGCCTAATTTTTTCGGAATTGAGCGAAGTTGCCCTTTAAGTATCGCAGTTGGGTATTTGCCTGTGAATGCGAAGAAGCTTTTAGGCAACACTTTGTGACTATGGGGAGGTCTGCCAGATCAATGTCGCTCCGCTTCTTGTGCGACCCGAACTGTCCTCCCCTCCTTGCAGCTCGTGAGACCAAGATCGACGTCGTCCTCATCGACACTGCTGGACGGATGCAAGACAACGAACCCCTGATGCGAGCCCTTGCCAAGGTTTGACCTTGTTTCTTGTTGGTTTTTTTGGAGTGTGCGTGTTCTGGGCAGAATGGCTGCTGTAGAACCAGCTCTCAAGGGAAGTGTGACACTTCGAGAGACTTATTTTTTTGTTCTGTCAAATTACTAAGAATGGTGATTTGATACCACCCTCAAGTTCAAAGTTTGGATGCGGAATATCACCTTCGAAAAAAAATCTTTAGATATTAAGCTTCTGCACGAGGGACGATGTAAAGCTTAGAGGAGGCCTTCTCGGTTTTGCCGCCTCCGACAGCGGGGAAGTGGCGTTTCCCATTTTCGTCCGTAAATACTGCCTTACTCCCGGCGAGCCGACTCATAAAGATAACATAAACTCGGTTGGGGCCACTTTGGTAGCAACTCGTCTGGCGTGGCAGAAGCTGCCTCGAATTCGTCAAACCGCGGCGATCAATATTGATAAAGGGCGCACACCTTGTTGAAGTAACAAAGCGTTGACATAAGCAGTTCGTTCGTAAACATTGCAAAAATTCTTCTTGTATACTGTTAAACCCCTTTGATACATTCTTTTTGGGGGGACCGCAATAGAAGAAAAAGTAGGATGTGGGAGAATGTAACCTTGATCTCTTGAGAGAAGAAGGAGTTGTTGTGCAACGCTTCATTTCATGTGCACCTTCACAGCTGTGAAGATGTACCATATTTATCCGAACAGGTTGGCATTCTTTTCACCACTGTTTTTTAAAGTGACCCGTATCCATATGAAAGCGGTACAGTCAAGCCTGCTTATATCGAACGGCGCGAGAACCGCAAGGTAGATCGATGTAGCGAAAATTCGAAATAAACAAATGAAGCAAAAAATGCACGTAAGAGCAATGCAGCCGACGCAGTCGCGAGCAAACTTAAAGCTGTCACCAGCCTGCACGTCGGCATTGATCGGAACACTTTCTGGGAAAGATAACAATAATTTATTGGGGCCAAAAGAACTGCGTAAGTGTAGCCTGTTTCTTTGAACTCGTCACATACCTGGTAACGGCCTGCTCCACGGTGCCCCCACGATCGACGAGCGCAAGTCCGCTGCCCCCAGTGGCACTGCATTAACGGCGTAGCAGGGGCCATGGAGCGACGGCTTCGCTCAAGCTCGGATGCGGTACAGGATCCTCGATGTCTCCTGGACTGGGCTCACTGCTTGCAACGGGCCGCTCCCAAACAAGCTCGGCGGCAATCTCGATGTCGGTCAGCTCTGTTGTGGTTCTCGCGACGTCATCGACAGACACCGCGGTGCCTTAGGTGGCGCTTCCTGTGCCAACTGCATGCGTGCGCCGGCATATTGCCGAGAAGCCTGCCGGATATCCAGAAGTGCGCACAATCCGGCGCAGAAGAGTTCCATATATCTGTTACGAGCCCGACCATGTTCGATACTAAATGGAGAAAAGTCATAGAATTCTTTCGGAATTCAACGAGGGTTCGATATGGGTAATACTAACTCAGTGTACCCGCGTTCGATTCAGTCGGGTTTGACTTTATTTGCGCTGCCACGTCGTACAACCCTACTCCAGTTCACCTTACGATGGACTGCAGCAGATGCTATGAGTTGTGTTGTCCCCTTTTTTCTTATTTTTTTGTCCTAGGTCTCGGGTTTTACAATGTTGAATGTTCACGAGCCCTCTTGCATTTTCTCTGCAATTTCTATCGGAGCCAGTCCAACGTGATTTGAGTGGCACATGATCTCTGGGAAAGGCGCAGCAACGTGCAGGGCACCCAGTCACACAATACGTTTACAGCTTTTGATTGGCTGGGGAGAGGCCCCTCGATAAAATTCACGCTTAGCGTTTCTTACAAGTATTGACAAACTTTGTTTGACAGATGCATGAAAAGTGTGCCACAAGCAACTGCTACGCCGCCATATGCTTTCTAGTACCGCTGCATCACCATTTGCTTCCAAGGGCAATACGGGGCGTGGACCTTTTGCATCGGCGCGTTTGACGCCACTTCTAAAACAAACACAAACACGTAGAGGGTCTTTAGGCTCGGATGGCTTGTGATATTCGCTGTAGTCCAGCCTAAAGGCCGGCATGCAGAATCGTCTTCTGCCAGGAAGAAAACCGGTTTCCAGTTTCCTTCCTTCCCTTCCTTGTCTCCTCCTCTCCCTACAGAAGCAGGTCTCTGAGCTACTGCTTGCAGAAAAGAGGTAAATCTCCCCTCGAATGAAACAGAGGATTAAAGGAGAGTTTCCTCGTTTCTAACTGCTCGTCTGTCTCTGAGGTGAATCGTAGCACAGGATGCTGTTTCCGCCGCTCCCATTGCAGCTGATCACGGTGAACAGCCCCGACCTGGTGCTGTTTGTCGGGGAGGCCCTGGTGGGCAACGAGGCAGTGGACCAGCTGGTCAAGTTCAACCAGGCCCTGGCCGACCACTCGAGCCAGGAGAACCCACACCTCATCGACGGCATCGTGCTCACCAAGTTCGACACCATCGACGACAAGGTACGCTCGCCCAGGTGTCGTTTGCATTCGCAGTTGACTGGCTGAAAAGTATAGACAGGCGGCTTTCAACTGGGGTCCACGGATCCTTTGGGGTATCTGCTTCATTTTGAAACCGCACACTAGAACCAGCTGAACCTTTAGCATACATTATAACTAGGGTTTTGCGATTTTGGTATCTATTTTTCTTAAATTGCAAATGAACGCCGTGCGGTCACCATCGTACAGTGTAGTACTACCGGTGGTTACGGCGAGGTGCGGAGTATGTGACATGGTAACTGTGTTCGTCAGCCTTTGGGAGTGGGGTTCTCTTCAGCATTTTCTGTCCCAAGAACAGAAGATTGACCAGAAATTGGTGCAGTGCACTGTACAGGTGACAAATGATGCAGTACATTCTGGATAACGTGATTTTCATTTTATCTTTCCAGTAATGCTCGAGATAGTTGCAACATTGACTGGCAAGTGCTTTAAAGCACTCCTTGCAGTTAGAGCAATCCTGTTTTCAGCTCACGAGTAGTTTGTGCCAAAACAAAATAATGTTGCTTTTTTATGACTAGCATTATTTCGTGGTTTTTATCTATCCGCACAAAACTAAGCATGACCATCACGCTTGACGTTGCGTATCCGACTATTCTTAACTCTTCCCATCTTCCTAAACGTGTGTGTCCTAACTCAGTAACTGACATTTTCAAAGTTAAAAGTGAGGCTTTGCAAATATGAGATACACCCTTTCTTGTAAAGCTGGCGTCAAGTGACTGAAATAGGAAAAACACGCATACTTACAATAGTATTATCTCTTCCGGTGGAGGCTGAGCAGCCGTTGCGTTAATTTTCGCGCATGGAACGATGACTCGCAGAGAAAGTAAGAACACAGTGTCATTACCTTTATTTCAACAACGTACATACTTGCAGGCTTGCACTGATGAGGCCTCAAAACCGAGACGTGTGTATCGTGACTGTGTCTGCTGCTACCTAACCTCATTGCCGCACCACTTCTGCAAGAAGTTACTGTAGAATTGCCAGTAAACACACACAAGTGACACCGATACAATTGTCTTCTAGAATATCACCTTACTTTGTGATAACTGTGTAATAACCAGCAATATATGTTGCCTTTAAGGGGGGACACTACCCGGAGAAAAAAAGATTCGGTTTTGAAAAATTATATTTACATCTATCTACATCCAGAGAGTATTCCCAGAAATTTTCACTAGTTTACACTGCATAGTTAATTTTTTATAAATTATTTTCTGTCCCCTAAAGCTAAAGGAAAGGTAGGTTTGGAGCACTTTGAACACATTTTTCTCCGTTCCACTTTTTTGTATTATTCCATTTTAGTCAATCAATCATTTGAGAATGGAAATACAGGCAAGGCTCGTTCTTCACTTTTCCTGACTGAAATTTAATAAGGAATGCGCCTATGGAGTTCGTTTGTCACTTTACGGATGTCTTTTATAAAAAATGTTGACATTTTGTCTGAGACACAGAAGACCAAAAAGTTGACCAATTTCGCAGAAGAGAAAATTGATAGAAATCAATTACTTTTTACAAAAACCTTTCCATAGGCGCATCTCCTAGGCATTCTGCTACATATCTAGCGAATAAAAATCTTTAATATTGTGATAGTTCTCTGACGATAGATTAACTAAACAGTGTAGGGGTGTTGCTGATAGAAGCTGCCCTAATTTCGTTCCCGCTTAACTGACAGACGTAAAATTTTGTTATGCACCCTCTAGCATGACCACCAGCCTACCCTGTAAATTTCCTTAATTTTAAGTCAAGGGTTCAAAAGTTGACAGTTTCTGGCAATATTGCCTGAAAAAATTTAATATTAATTTTTAAGTCTGTCAACAATGTATCCTTGCCGATTCTCAGCAGAATCTTTAGAAAAGTTTGGCAAAACTTCGGCAAAACTTCAGCTTCGCCGAATCCCAAGGTTGGGCACCGAGTTTTCAATTCGGCAAAAGTTTGGCCCATTACTAGTTTTCACCAGTTTCCTCGTAGCCTGAAAGTTAATGATCAAAATTCTGTTATTAACGACCGGGGAACCAGCCGCTCCACCTTCGTGAAAGCAGTAAGCGAACGCTATGTACTGCTGTAAGCTGTGTTCCTCTTGTTCTCAGTGTTTTTTTTTTATTTTGTTATGTTGATTGTTCTACGTACGTGACACTAATCCCGATTTTGTTCTCTTGTCCTTCAGGTTGGGGCAGCCATCTCAATGACGTACATCACTGGACAGCCAATCGTGTTTGTTGGCACTGGTCAGACCTACATTGACCTCAAAACAATCAATGCCAAGGCAGTGGTGCACGCACTCATGAAGTAAACTGTAATTGTTATGTTTCTTGGACATGAAAAGCCCGTCTCTCTTTACCTTCTTTTTTTTTTGTTGCCACATTGTTGAGTTTATTTACAGTATTCTATAGGTGTGGAGCACGTTTTTCAACCTTTTTCGTGGAATCGTTTAGTTCGTATACAAGTGGAAAGGAATAATTATATGCCTAAAGTAGCAACTCTGTGGGTCACGAGCTTTTTTTTTTTTTTTAATCCCCTCCCAAATGCTGTTTAGAATCTAATAATAACTTTCTCTCGTGTCTCTTCTGTGAGGTTCAAGGTTGACAAAATGTTGCTGGAGTAAAGCTAATGCATGAATAATCAATTCTTTAAAATATATTTACTTTGTTGCTTTATATTTTGTGAATTTTTTATTTCTGTAGTGGAGCTGGTTTTTTATGCATCACTTTCATATTGAGCTTTTGCAATTTCGCTCCTAGTTGGGACGAGGAAGCTAGGTTTGAGACTGTTGTGAGCCTAGTTTTCTTTTTTTTGTTAAGCACTCTTGGTGGAATTTGATAGTATTGCCCTTTGTGAGGTTTTTTTTTCTCCAGGAATTGTGCTCTGAATTTATTATTTTTCTTGGCTTGGCTCCCAACTAGAAAATACACATAGGTAGTATGACTTTGAGGGGGAGGGAAAAATGTTTTTAGACAAGCTATTTTTTTTTTTTACTTTTAATTCTATATTTTGCATAAGGTGGAGTTGTGTATTGCTGCATTCCCTCGTTTTTCTCTCTACCTCGTAGCGTGCAATCCTTTATTTTTTATTTTTTTTTGTGCGGGCATAAATTTATTGTATGAGTACCTCACCGACCTTGTCCTGTACCGTCTATGTGATATAATCGACGCTGAACTTGAGAAAAGGTGATAATCTGTGCCTGGAAATAAAATATACATGTTTGAATCCTGCAAGTATCGTCTTGAATGCCACGCACACGTGGCGGCGTTGAGTCGGCATACCTTAGCCGATAATGATAAGGTAGTTTTAATGCAGAATCTGTTTATCAGTCGAATTCTTTGAGAAGACTGTCACGAAGAAACCCTTTACATCATGTGGCAGAGTGGCGTCGTAATGTCATGTCATGATGTCGTACGATATAATAATGTGACATGATGTTTTTATGGCACGATAATGTGACATGACATATGACGTTCTTGCTACACCATGGTGTCACATTACGTAATCGGGTCATGTGACGTCGCGCACGTAGCGTGTGCCCAGCTCCTTCACAGCTTACTCTATGCTCCCTGGTATTTGTCAGCATTTTTACACCCAACGGTTTCCTGGGGATCCTCGCCTTTCCTTGGCGGTGGAGGTTTGTGTGACCCAATGGTGCTCCTTTCGGGTTCTGGTGGACAGGCTGGGTAGGGGCCAGACATGTAGGGACTGTGGGTACCATTCATGTCTGCCTGTGCATCATGGCACAGCCATGCTCAGGGAAAGGAACACTGAGGCGACTCAGCCAAGCCCAGATTTGTAACCTGCCCTCAGGGTGAAGCCACACACACCGCTTCATTCTTGCATCTTACTCCAGCAACCTATAGGGGGCACCACCTCCGAACAATTGTGGCAGCTGGGAACGGGTCGCGTCTGGTTGGTGAGGCTGGTTGGATTTTCACTTGAATTTTCTAGATTTTCTTCGTTTAATACCCTATTTTCTAAATTTTATTTTCCCTGTGCTGTGCATTCTTTTCATATCAAATTTAGTTTTCGAGATTTCGTTTGAAACCGAAATATGGGGCTCTGTCATTGCTCTGTAGGGCGGTAGTGGGCTCTATTCAGTTTTGATCGGCTAACGACTGTGGCGATGGCTGCAGAATAGACCCTTTTCCAAAGTCTGCGCCATCGCCTGTCTGCACATGCTCTAAGCATGTATTGGACATGAGGGCTGAAACAGCGTTTGGCGTGAACTTGGCCCCACTCGAATTGAAAACGAGTGCTACACCAACCTTCGTTAAAGATACGGGTCTAAGGGCTCATTCACACTGGAAGCGGATCCGCGTTCGCAAAGCGGTTGCGAACGCGGTTGTATAAGGATTCAGTACAATTGCACGCGCATTTGATGGCATCAAATGCGCGTGCAATTGCACTGGATCTTTATACAACCGCGTTCGCAACCGCTTCGCGAACGCGGATCCGCTTCCAGTGTGAATGGGGGGTAAGCGCGGACTTCGTAACTAAGCAGTGGCGACTGCCAATGTTGGTCGATGCACCGAGCATAATTTTAAACTAACTCGCACGCCTCGACCATGTTTTTTTTCTGACCACAAGATCGAGGCTTTGTGCACGTCCGCATTTAAAGGGATACTTCAACGAAATTAAAAATATACCCATCGTATCCAGAAATGGGCTCGGTATGATCCACAATATTCGTAAATGAATATCGCACGTTTGTAGATTGAACATGATGGCTGTATTTTTCGTTATAAACGGCCCATTCTGGCAAGCGCTCGGAGAGTAGCCAGCGGAGAGCACGTCACATCCGGTGCAATCGCGATGTAGTTTGTCTCGGGATGAGCAAAGCTGCGGCGAGGCTGACGTCGTCAGGATGCCCTAGCCGTTCCAGCCACCGAAGCTGTCGAAGCACACCAGGGATCGGGCCACCGTAACTAACCGCAAAAGCCGCTTTTGTGAATTTTAAGTGTCGGGTTAATCTTCTATTATCTTGTAGAGGGAGAATAGCGATGTCTGAGACGCAGAAGAGAGCCCTGTTGAGTGAGGGGTTCCTCCCCCCCCCCCCCCTCTTCTCTTTTGCTGGCCATAGAGCTGTCGGGATGACAGTTATCGTCACTACCATGTCAAGACTGGCATTACAAACGAGGCTTAAGCGACATCCACCAGGTGCTCTTTGCTAATCGTTTAATTAGTTTTAAAATGCCACTGCTTTTTTGAAAATAAGTGCAGACATTTAGTTATAGTACTGGATCTCGAGCCGAGGAGTGTGTAACCTGCTGACACCTCAGCAGCTGATAATCGTATTTCAATTCGGGTTTTAGTCAAAATTGCCGAGTCATTTTGACAAATACGCTGCTTATGTATGATCCTACGTAGTAGGTCTCACTAAAGTGATGTTATATTTTGGGCGAACTTCGAGCTTAGCTTCCAAACTAGTGGGTGTAGTGCAGAATAGAAGTATTTTACCTAAAGTAAGATACTACTTCAACTCGGCCAAATGGTTCTAGCCGTCAGTACGGAGACGAATGTGGGCAATTTGAAGAGACAGTCTCCGTCGTTCTTGCAGACCCCCTCTGCATCGCACTTGACTTTGAACCTGGATCGGGATGTTCAGCAAATTTTCGAAAATAAATTTTTCTGGCCGGACAACCTGAAAAATATAGACGTATCGCTGTTGGCTCCGACAAAATTATCCTATACATTTTGTAGCTGTGAGAAGTCGTAATGTTATGGCATTTTTTACCTTTGCGTGACACGTCGCCCACCTTTTAAAAACAGACGTTTGCCCTCATTACCGTGTGCAGCGGGCAGTGTGCTACAGTGTCACTTGGAGGGGTTTTCTGAAGTCGGGTAATCGCAAAATCTGCTCAACTCTTTAGGTATGCTCGAAGGTCTTTTTCGGCGAGAAGCAGCCAAGGGAAATGATCAACGACCCAACACACCGACTGGCCTGGGTGACTCAATCTGCCAGCTAATCGATCGCAACCGAATCAGGAATAGTGGCTATCAAACCTTCGCTTTCACTTAACTGCAAATCTCGTGTTCCCTCCAGTGAAACAAGAAGTCTCATTCTCTGTCCGTTCCACTGATCAGCTAACTAGTAGTCATCACTTTTAACGTGATCCGAGACAGAAAAGCTCTCAAAACTTTTTTTTCTTTTGTGATTCCTCTCTATCCAAGAAATCTAAGCATCTGAATGTGTTTTGGAGTAAAGGGCTGTCCAAACAGGATAGTTCGGAAATCGTGAGGCGACACAACTTTCTCAAAAGTCGTGCAAGTTGAAGTGGTTGAAGTCCGGCAGTCCAATGTCTGTTTGAACACCACCAAGCAGACATCACAACTTTCCTTTGCTTTTCGGTTACTTAGGTGCTCGTCACTTCTTTTTTTTTTTTTTACAAGTTACACAGAGTTTTCCGTACTAAAAAACCTCTGACACGCCAAAAAAATTTTTTTTTTTCTTGCTAGGCGTTGAAATGGCATGTCACGACATTACAAAAAAAAAAAAAAAAATTCACTATAGAGTTGCACAGTTTTTTTTTTTAAATAAAAAATAGAAATACGAGGCCCAATTCAAAGTTCCCGCCAGTGCACTGTGACGTAACAGTGTACCGCAAGGTGTCGGGGCGGTCAGAAGGGAGGCATCGACTACGTCACTAAAAGTGGGTTCGCAGGAAGTTACGTGAGTTTCACTCCTCGTGCTCTCCGCGACCGTGCCTAAGACTTTTTTTTTTTTTCCTGCTCTTTGTACGAGCGATTGTAGAAAACGAAGTTTCAGTTCCACTAGCTCTTTATCGCTACACCGTTGGTTAGTTTGCGTGCTGTAAAAGTTGAGGACGAAGAGTCAGTGGACCGACGTGATGGAGGTCAATGAGGAAAGCGTTGCGAGTACAAGCCTGTTTACGAGTGCATGCCGTCAGTCCGATGATACAGAGCTGCACTGGGCGCAAAAAAAGCTATCAAGTTTTGAAAAAAAATTGAGAACGCTTGCAGAAATTAGGATTGTTAGCGTCTGTTCGGACACCGAGGTCGTCGAATCGTCGTATACTCTCCAGGCTGAAGATGCCTGCCGTCTCTCGGATGAAATGCATGCAGTGTGATCTCTTCTTCAGTTGCTGAAATACCAGGACAGTCCCTCACACAGCACTTTCTAGGCATTGTAGTTGATCACGTCAATTCACTGACTCCTCTTCTTCTACCTTTACAGCAACATTAAGCGATGAAAAGCAAATAAAAGAAACCTTGTCTGCTTGGATCGCTTGTGAAGGTGCGGAGAATAACAAAAACATTTTTAAAATATTACGCGCGCTCGCGCTAAGCACGAGGAGGGATACAACTCACGTGACTTCCGGCGATGTCTCCCTTCTGACCACCCCGACACCTTGGGGTACACTGTTACGTCACAGTGCACTGGCGGGAACTTTGAATTCGGCCTCGTATTTCTATTTTTTTATAAAAAAACTATGCACCTCTGTAGTGAAACAATTTTTTTGTAATGTCTTGACATGCCATTTCAACGCCGAACCGGCCTTAAGGAGTTGGCGATCACCAGAGCTTCGCTTTGCTTTTACAGGCAACATAGAAGGGACGCACAGGAAAGGGTTTCAATGCCATGAACAGACGCACCTTAAGTAGATATGACGATGGAAGATCAGGCAACAGAGCAGTCGGCACCTCTTTCATTTACGGCTGATGTAAGCACAACTTGTACCGTATCCCTTCCTGCATGTACAGGATTGGCAGTTTGCATGTGGCAAGCATGTACGTAGAGTGGACCTCAAGTTTGACCAGCTGTCCTTACCCTTGGGCTCTCTTGGGGACAATTTTGAGGGACACCAGCTGCAGCTGCAGGTTTTCTTTTTAACTTCCTAAATATAATTTAAAACTTGCTGAGAGTGAAGAGGTCGGTTGGCGACTTAAAAAGCTGGGACATTATTGTGAAATATGTACTATCAGGGAAAAATGAAATACGAACAGAGGAGCGCGTTGGCGCTCGGTACAGGCTGCGCCACCTCGAAGTGAGCCCGGGATTGAGGGTGTGTGGCCTACTCCGACGTGTATACGCCCTCGCTCGGCGCTTCCCAAGCTTCGGCATTGCTCCTCTTGTTGTGCTGAAAGCTATCACCTCTATCGCTGCTCACTCAACGCGTGCGGCACAAGGAAGTTGCGCAAGCAAAAAGGAGAAAACGCTGCGGGCGCACTCGGCCTGCGTGCACGCAAGCTGCTACAAGCGGTG